GTCCAAAAACATCTGGAGGCCCAAGGTTGGTGACCATAGATTTAGATGGATGTTTCTGTTCAAACAGAAATGTTTGCTTATTTTGGGTAGTTTTGAGGCAAGAGACCACATACATCTGAAAACACTGCTGTCCATCCCCTCTTCTGTCATTTGAACAACCCTCTTGCTTGCCTCTTCCCCACCCTGCCTTTCATCCCCTTGTTTCCTTGCAAGTAAGTGCAGAATTCCTTTAAATGTGTAAAGTGCAGAGCTTAACAGGTCTGACACAGTGCTTATCTGATACAGCACTGCTTCTGAGGAAGTACTTTAAAAATTGTTAGAGCAGAGACAACAAAAGAGAAGGAGATGTTCCCTCTGTAGACTTCCAGAATATATCAGTGAGGTCGTCAATCGTCTGGAACAGTGGCTAATCTGCTGAGACTGGAGAAATGAAAAAAAAGGAAACAACCTGAGCTGCTCAGGGCTTTCAGCAGACCATTTTAAAAGAAGCGTCACCCGCTCTGCACAACCATCATATCTGAAGGAGCAAGCTGTACACTGCCATGGCCCACCCTCCTGAGTATCTCACGGTCAGTGTTTCCACAGACAAACCAGGCAGTGCTCACACATGCTGGAAATTGAAATGAAACAATGTTATCTCAAGCACTCCCCAAAAACAGTAGCCCTGGCTGGTGAACTGAAAAGGTGCAAATAATTGTGGACAAAGATCAAGCTGGTTCATGATTACTTGCATGTCATATAGTCAATGGAAAGTATATCAACTGTGCCAACTGCAGGACAAAATGGGGGCTAAATCGTCATATAGTCCCCTTCTCACTTCAGCTTGCTAGCTGGTGGATGTGTTTCACTCAACTTTATATTTAACTACTACATTTTGGTAAGTGAATATATTCCCCCTTCACTCCATATCTCATAATGAAATGACATCTCATAAAAGAGATATATTAAAGGCTTTTATTTTCCAGAACAGAGCTGGAATTTCTGTGCAACCTGCGGGTTGCAAACAAATCCCTCTGCTAATTTTAGAACCAAATTTCCCCAGTAGATTTTAAGGTCAAGCAAAAGATTTTGCCTTGAGTTTCTATTCTGAAGGAAATGAGATATGTTGTGATTTTGCACTATTAATATGTTTTGCGTATAAATTTGTATTGGCAAGTGATTAGGGACTGACTGACAGTTGTATGTGGGATGCGTGCAGTGACAGTTAAAGCAGTTGAGAAGTTTGAAAAATATTTATGAATGCAATTGAAAGTTAATTGATTTATGCCAGTTCCTGACTTGAGAAATTGGGAGGGAGAGTGAGTGTGTGTGTGTGTGAGAGAGACTGTGCCAGTTCCTAACTTGAGAAATTCTATTTGTAAGTGTGTGAGGGAGGGAGTGTGTGTGTGTTTGTGAGAGAGAGATAATTAGAGGATTAGTAGTTAAAGATATGACTTTGAGTTTGGAAGTTATTTGGAGTGGGGAGTGAGAATGGGTGTGGTCAGTTTTACGAAGAAGTTGTGAATAATACTGTGATATTTTTAGTATTTGTGCCAAAGCATCTCTGTCTCTGTGTGTGTAATAGATAGTGTTTGCTCTTAAAAAAGAGTAAAGTCGTATGATATTATACTGTATAAACTGACAAAACTTTGTTCTTACGTTTTATTTTTACCTGTTCACTGAATCTTTTTTTTATTCCTTTGTGTGTGTTTTAAAATAAAACCCCTTTGGTTTACAGTGCCTGCTTATTATTTTATCAGTAACTCTCATGTTATACCCACATGTAGTACTGCTAAGTGCAATGACAGATGACACATGGTTTGTGTAGTATCGCCAAAGTAAACAAGATATGTTTCACCAGAAGGATTCTTACTTTCCTTAAAAGGGCAGTGTGTAGTCAGTCCTTAGCTGGGGCAGTTTTATAGCAGCGGTGTGAAAAGGAACACTGCTCTTTGCCCCCTTATCCCGGAATAACCACGTGAGACCAGGCGAATGGGTTAAACATGGGCCACACTTTATTGAAATCCATTTCATTCTCAGGAACATTGCCAATCATTTGGCGAAGGGTGTGTGTGTTCCTGCTGTAGCACAGATTCAGATTTCCCTTTGGGTTCTCGCTTGACCCCTGACCAGCCAATAGGATGAGCTCAGGCCTCAGTTATTCCCCGCTTTATTACCATGGAGTAACTATCGGCCTCCAATTTCCCTGGACCCCCTTTCCTTCTCTCTGTGCCGTCCGTGGGTCCATGTGCATCCCCAGCGCATCTTTCCTTCCAAGCACTGTGATTGCCTGATCAGCAGTGCTGTCCATTCAGATGCGCTACAATTTAGTGCCGTTACCATACAACCCAAGTTCTGTTACCTTTGAATCCACACTACCCACCACAGCAATGGGAATAGGCACAGTATTTCCCATGCTCCCCCTCTGGATTGGTGACTAGGATAATCTAAGAGAAGGAATCCCTGTTCACTTGCTTAAATAGCACCCCAAAATTTGGTGCAGGGGGTTGCATGTGGCTGTCATATGGACAGCAAGCTCACACAGGCAGAGAACGTACAGATGAACCCCACAGGGTGGCAAAACGCAGCAAGCTCACACAGGCAGAGAACAGAGAATGTACAGATGAACCCCACAGGGTGGCAAAACCTGGGTGGCAACAGGATATTATAGCAGACTTCATGTTGAGAACAGCAGTGTAGCAGGAGGGAGATAGGAAATGAATAAAAGCAGAAAAGGTTAGAAGGGGACAGACAAAAGAGGTGCTTTGAGGTCAAATAGCTTTGCGTTTCTCACTATACAACAAATAGGTTATAAATGCAACAAGGACAGGGACGAGATAAATTACAAGAGTGTAACGTAACTCCCATGAGTTGATCATTTCCGATTTATTCCTGTCAGTTTTACTTATAAACACAAGGAGCTAGTGGGCAGAGGTATTTCAAACTGCTAGATAGCTCCATGGTTTATATATCCGGCCATGGAGCCAGAGTTTGGGAGTTTAATTCCCAGTGTGCCTTCTTGACAGAAGCTGGATTCAAGGATTCCTAGTGTCCCTTCCATCTCTGCAGTTGTTAGATGATGATGATTGTTATTATTGTCATCATTTTTGTGTGTGCAAAGTATTTAAGGACATGCGAATGAATTTTTTTTAACAAGTGTCAACTATATTGATTGTAGCTTGGAAGAGATACAGTAAGGACATGCGAATGAAATTTTTTTAACAAGTGTCAACTATATTGATTGTAGCTTGGAAGAGATACACGTTCTAAATTAAAACAGAGGGGAGTTAGTCATTCATCAAAGATTGAATGTACCTCCTGCAAGGAATTTTACACTGGAGCCAAGTGTAACATAATGCTACTTCCTGTAAATAGGGAAAAGACTGCTGTGAGTGTCACTTTATAGCTGGCTACCAGGCCCATAAAAAAACTGGAAGGCTTTTGAATGACACCTGTTTACGCAGAAACATCTGCTTGTCTCCTTTAGGCTAATGACTAACTTAAAAGCCTCTAGTTGCCTGTTTGCATGGTGCTTCCCGTAAGCAATCGAATAATAAATTTAGCAAATATGAACCTTTTTTTGGTTATCTTTTTATCAGCCAGTTATACTTTTTCTGATGACAGCATTGTTGCCAGTATCAAAAACAATGTTGTAGAGCTGAAAACATGTGGAAATGCAAAATGAAAACCATGAAGACTGAAGAAATATCTCTGTGGTTAAAAGGTATAATGTTTGGCACTTTTTAGCTTGGGGAGAAAAGTAAATTAGAACTCTTCCAGCTGGGACATCGGTATTACCTGTTCTCGACCTCATTCGGACACTTGGTGCTGAAGGAGAAAAGGATTCACTGAGGTTTGTATATAAACTGTTGTCTGCTGTACTGAAGGTGGTACCATGCTAATCTGCATGTCACTTTTTCCTCAGTGGACTTCAGCCTGCCTGGAGGTGCTGTCCTGCTTCCATTGGTTCCACACCAATATCACAGAACTTTCTATGTTAAAAAGTAATAGAGAATTGAAAATTTCTGACCTGAGGACCTGAATGCTTCCAACCAGCAATCTCTCACTACAACATCTACTAAAAACAGGAACTGCTGTTTTGCTAAACTCCACACCTAGAACAAAATGGTGCAAAAATTTAGATCAGGTGTTTTGGAAAGGTCTTGGAATCCATGAAGTAACAAGCTACAAAAAGAGATATTTGCATATTTTAGTCATGATGGCTCAGTGTGGTTACTGCTGGTGTCAGTATGCCTCAAGTACCAGTTACTGGAGATCAGAAAACACCTTCAACATCTTGTGTCTTTTGTGCCTAAGCCATTTTAAAGCATAAGATTGAAGCTGGAGGCATCCACCAAGCTTGCTCATTTTCCAGGCAAAGTATGTTAAAGATAACCCACAACAATCATTAGATCCTGGTAGTGAAAGCCTTTATGAATATATGATAAAGCTACTTTTTAAGACTACAACTTCCAGAATCCTCCCACCAGTATGGCCTCTTGGAGATCCTGGAAGCTGTAGTACAAAAAAGTAACTTTTCCGGACTCTGTTCCTAAGAAGTCCTTGTGGGCTTGCCCAAGTCAGCTGGTTGGCAACTTTGAGCAAATGCTGGCACAGACACATTATGGGCAAAATACAATTGGGGAAAAAGGCACGCAGAAAATCAGTGGTGTAGCAGGCTCCCCTTCTTACTTGTTATCCATTAGGTAGTAGGACTTGCAAACAGGTATTCCATCATGTATTTATCTATTGGATGTTGGTGAATCATGAATAGATAGCTATCTAAGTAGGATTGCTATATAGACAGGATTGGTTACACGATCAGCCATATGCAACTGCAAAAGGCAATAGGATTTTGGACTTACTACAATTAATTATTGTATGAATATTAATGCTAATAACACAGTGGACTGAAATCTTACTAAGGAAAAACAAATATTTGTATGTATTAGTATTTCATTACTTGTTGAATTGCTCTATGTAGCACATGGATTTCTCTGTCTTCTTGTTTCTTGTTTTAGATTGAGGATGCTATCTTTAAATACTTCCGAAGCCAAGCAAGAGCTGTAATACTGTACATCCCCTCTTCCGGCAGTAAACAAGATCTTCTGCTATATCAACGCATCTTTGCACAACATGGTTATGGCGTTACTGTCCTTGAAGACAGGAAATTGAGCGGACATGAAATTCCAAGTCAAGGTCAGAATATTCAGCATAATAATATATTTCCTTCTTGAATCATGATCAGATTGCCATTTTTAAAATAGCCTTATATCCAGAGTTTATAAGTCAGTTGGGGTAGAGGTGAAACATACTGGCCAAACTCCTCTTCTGTAAAGTTATACCTGCATGAGCTGATGATGTCATCCAACATAGGCTTTTATTGCTCATTAGAAGTTTCCTATTCCACACACACATGCCTGTTTCCAAGGCTCCCTTGGCATCCCTTTTGGCCTGAGGAAGCCTTGGGATCCCCAGGATGGGGTCGGTGGGTGAGAGTCTTTAATGCCCCCAAATCACCAATGTCAGTACTGATCCTGGCAGCAGGACTGGCAGAGGCATTTTGCAGGAATTACAGACTCCCCGCATTCTTCCAATCTTAAACAAAGTGCAACCAAACTAGGGAAACCATGGCTTCAGATCCTGGCTTGTTCTTAAATCAGAGTTAAATATAAATTATAGTTCCCTAAATTTAGACTTTATGGGAAATTGTAGCTAATTAGAAGCAGATTGTAAATTAAGAACTGTTACCAAGGATTAATGCAGATCTTTCATGTGGTAAGCCAAAGTTTCCTGTTATGTGGCTTGTCATATCTCTGCACTTCAGTTCTCCCCCTTTTTACATTCTAAATTAAATTTCTTTTTACTCATGTATCCTTCATTCAGGTAGCATATATTTGAAAAATGTGAAGAGTGTTTAGATCAGTACAGTCTCCATTGTTAGGGGAAATTATTGCTGTCTTAAAGGAAAAAATAAAGGCACGTTCAGCTGATACCTGTATCATTCATACACAGTGAACTTTTATTTGGTTTTCTGATACCTCTTTTGGAGGTTTTGGCATGGATTGTAAACACAATGTAGGCTCCACAACTCCTACAGCTAATGATTCCCCCCCCCCAAAAAAAACATAACTTTAAGATTCAGCAATTCCGAGATGAATCAAAATACACCCATTTTGATCTTGAAAAATATTTAGATATTAGATGAAGCCTCCCAGCTTGGTCAGTTCCGCACTAGAAATATGCCCTGTATAACCAAGCCTTGGTCAGTTCCCCACTAGAAATATGCCCTGTATAACCAAGCACACAGTGGAGCTAGGATTCCATCACCACCCTGAGCCTAGAAACAGCGTAAAGCACATTTGTAGTTAGGCAAATGTATTTTAGGTAGGGTAGAAGCCTTCCCCTGTTGACCTGAATAAACTGGAAGGATCAGAAGCTAGCTAAAGCTAACTAATAGTGTGGCTTTTAAGGCCAACTTTTACAAAGCATAGAATACATTTTTCTTGATTGTAGCAGAAAAACCCTTCGTATTGTAATGACTCATGGCTTCATAAGATCATGATGTGAATCCGCCTAGCGTGATCGAAATGACTAGATAGGTGGGGTATGACCTGAATAAACTGGAAGGATCAGAAGCTAGCTAAAGCTAACTAATAGTGTGGCTTTTAAGGCCAACTTTTACAAAGCATAGAATACATTTTTCTTGATTGTAGCAGAAAAACCCTTCGTATTGTAATGACTCATGGCTTCATAAGATCATGATGTGAATCCGCCTAGCGTGATCGAAATGACTAGATAGGTGGGGTATAAATTAAATAACTTTCTGGTTGTGAGAATAGTGTGCCTTTTATGGCCAACTTTTACGAAGCATAGAATACATTTTTCTTGATTGTAGCAGAAAAACCCTTCGTATTGTAATGACTCATGGCTTCATAAGATCATGATCCACAGATAAGGGCTGTTCACTGTTCTAGTGAACTGTGCAGGTCACCCCAGCAGGTGATGTGTTTTGACATTGATCCACAGATAACTAGTCAGGGCTGTTCACTGTTCCAGTGAACTGTGCAGCTCACCCCAGCAGGTGATGTGTTTTGACATTAGCAACAATAATTCCTGAAATTTTTCTTCAGCAACAACAAAAGATTTAAGAGTTTTTCAGTCATAATCCAGATGTTCCTGCAACATTCTATGCATACGGGAATTGTAGAGTAAACATCAAACAGATGCCATTTTTAATGCAACAAAGAAAGAAATAAAACAAAAAGTTTGCTGCTAATTCTATCCCAAGAGTAAGAGGTCTTTTGTAGCTTGTTCAGATTCCCCAATTTAAGAATAAGCTTTTCAGATAAATTTAAGTGAAGTAAGTTGCTTACATACCAAACTGATGATGTTTTCTAAAGCAGATGGAAAATCATTCCCCCCACTTCTTGCAAGCAAATAGCATTTTCATATATTTTTTTGAAGCATGGCACTTGATGTAATAGTTTCTGAAGGCAGGTTGTTTATGTTATGACATAATATTTTCCTAGCAGTACTATTCTAATTTGTAAAAATGCACTCTTTGGAAGCACTATTTAAAAGATTTAGGCAAGATATATCGAAACATGTGAACAGAAAATGGTAGGGTAATCACTCCCCCTTGACCAATATAATTTGTCAGCTTTATCTGATAATTTTTCTACTCTGTTTCTTAAAAGATTTAGGCAAGATAATGTATATCGAAACATGTGAACAGAAAATGGTAGGGTAATCACTCCCCCTTGACCAATATAATTTGTCAGCTTTATCTGATAATTTTTCTACTCTGTTTCAGATTTCAAAATTATGTCTGGTTCTTGTTTCTTCTATAGCTTAAAGGAGTATTTTTAGGCTTTCTGGAAGGCTGGCTCTGAACCAGTAGGCCAGGCTGAAAGAATATATAGGGAAAATGAAATCTTTTTCATTTTCCCTATACATCAAGTTGAAAGTAACATCAAGTTGAAAGGGCTTCGTAATGTTATGAAAAACACTAAGAAGTTCTTTTTCATTTGAGGCTTAAGAAGGACTTGTTTATTTGAACATCTCAAAGGACCAAGACAAGTCTGGAGACCACAGCTCAGTAGCAGGTCTCACACATGGATTGCTGAAGGACACAAGTTCTATGCCTATGACCTCCGAGGATGGAGTAGCAGGCAATATTATATATATTTTAGACCCTGGAGATCCACCACTTGCTGAAGGACACAAGTTCTATGCCTATGACCTCCGAGAATTGAATAGCAGGCAATATTATACAGTGGTGCCTCGCTTAACGAGTGCACCGTATAACGATGAAATCGCATAGCGATCCGTTTTTTGGATCGCTAATGCGATCGCTCAACGAGCTTCAGATAGGGAGAATTTCGCTTTGCGAAGATCGGGAAGCGTTTCGCTTACCGATCTTCGCAAAACGAAGCTCCGACGATCAGCTGTTTGGCGGACAAAATGGCCGCCGGAAGCCTCGAAATGGCCGCGCGCAGCGTTTTTGTGCCCTCCCCTTGCTTAACGAGGGCACGAAAATGGCTGCCGGCCATAGGAAACCTCGCTGAACGGTGAGTAAAGGAGCCTTTTGGAATGCATTAAACGATGTTTAATGCGTTCCAATGGCTTTCCCTGTCCCGTTCAGCGATGTTTCGCTATAGCGAAGGTTAATCCGGAACGGATTAACCTCGCTATGTGAGGCACCACTGTATATATTTTAGACCCTGGAGATCCACCACTAGTGACCACTAGCTTGTGCTGACAAGGGTAGAGAGATGAAAGAATATACCGACCTAGTATAAGGCAGATTTCCTTGTTCCTAGTGTGCTAAGTAAACAACACAACAAATAACATTGGAGTTCCATGGCAACACCCTTGGTCTTGAGAGCGGATCAACTGACACATTAAGGCAAAAGCATATTTCCTTCTCTTACATTATCTCTCCAGCCTCCTCAATTTTTCAGAGCCACATGCCTGGGGCATCAAACATGCAAACAACACCATGCTGTCTCCTTAATGGCTGCTGACAAAACAAAAGCAGTCTAATATTCAAAATGAGGATTAAGGCAGGCTCCTCTTAGAATAAACAGAGAATTGTTTCTAGATACAGAATCAAATTCTCATCTGCTGTGAGGACCTGAGATCCATTGGACCCTCACATTATGGAAGTGAATAGAGAACCCTTGTGAGCAGGTTATTCCAAATAGCTCCTTAAAATGTTTTATGATAGCATAGACCTAGGAATAGGCCAGCATGGTGTAAATTCACACTGGTGTCATAGAAAGATCCTGGACAATTCCTAAAGGGATGTTAAACAGAATCCTTCTTAAACTTTGGAGAGTTCTCACAAGTATAAATATTTTAGCATTAAAAGGAGGGCTGGCCGCAATCCAGGGCTGGAGGACAATTTCTGTAAATCCACTGGAATTGAATTTTCAGTGTGTTAAGCTGCACTGCAGTACTCCTGTTTCCTGGTAGAAGTGCTTCATTCACTTCACTGAAGGTATCTGAGAAACGTCTGTTAAAATAGATCAACAAATCATGCTGCCATAACGGACTCCTCCTCTTAGAACAGCTAAATTCTCATACAGTTTTTTTTTCTGACCACAATAACAATATCCCTGTGGCATTATAATACAAAGATTTTATCACATCAATTTTGGCATGGTGAATATGTTGTGAGAAGATGCCACTACTAATTGAGAGCTGAGGCTATCTGTCAGAGAAACGTTGACTTTTCAAAGGCCTTCTTTTTCATATTGGTAAAAACTATGCACCATAGTGAAGGTGCATCGAGCTTTAACATTTACCATGTGAAACGAAGGCAGTCAAATTCCTTTGTTATGACTGTACTGTAGGGGCAGTTTATACAATCAGTAGGATCAAACGGTGAAGCTTCTCAGGGCTCTGTTACTTCAGGCTGAAAACCATATACAGTGGTGCCTTGCAGGACAAAAAACTCACAAGACAAATGGTTTTGGCAATGGGGTTGATGACTCGCAAGACAAATGTTCCTATGGCCATGCTTCACCAGACGAACATTTTCAGTTTTTTGTTCCTGCCTCATGTTTGTTGATTTTTAAATGTTTTTCTGTGATACTTAAAAAGTTAACGTTTTTATTGAAATTTTTAAAATCATCTGCACAATATGTATGGCTTTAAAGAGCACTTAATAAACCCTTTGTAAACCAAATTTG